AGGCGGCCCCCTGGAGCCGTGGGACCAGCGCAGGAAACCCCAAATGGCGGTGCTGCTTCAGGCCTTCCCGCCCCCTCCCCACCGTTTCCACTTAGGACCGCCCCACCCGGGCCGGCTCCTCTCCGGCTGCGCGGCCTTTATCACTCTCCGATCTCCATCACCCTGTCCACGTCTTTCTGAGTGTGTCCTGGACTTCGTTCTCACCTCCATCTCCTCCTCCGTGCCCTATTGTCCCCTTCTCCCTCCACCTTCGCTCAGTGCTCACCGCCCCCTCTCTCCCCTCCATCCTTTCTCTATTTCCAGCTGGGTCTCCCCGTTGCCACCCCCCACCCCAACCATCCACACCTGCCCAAGCTGTCCTGATGTGGCCCCTGGCAGGGAAAGTCTCCTGCCCTCACTGGAGTCTCGCTTCTTTGTGCGGCATCATCTCCTCATGATCCCTCCACCTGCTCTCTGGGCAGAAGGCTCAGGTTGCCCAGGCTCTGGCTCTAAAACCAGCAGGTTGCTCTCTGTCTGCCTGAAACCTCAGCTGCCATCTGGTGGCTGCACACTCAACAGGAAGCGCAGATTCAGCAGAGTCTTTGAACTTGAGGGCACTGGGACCAGAGACCCTCCCTTGGCTTGGCCCTACAGACCCCTACAGGTTGTGCCAGCTCCTTGCTCAGGCTTCTCGTGGGCTTCAAGGGCAGCTAGGCCTCCAGTGACGCCTCCTTGTGATCCTTTCTCTCCAAAATTGTCTGGAAGCCCAGTGTCTTCCGCCCTGGAACATTATTTCAGAGAATAATGGATTGACCACATTTCTGGGACCATGTCTGCTGCAGACCTTAGGCCTCTGGAGATGCAAGAGAGACACAGAGAGAGAGAGAGAGAAATATGGAGAGAGAGAGGNGGACCATGTCTGCTGCAGACCTTAGGCCTCTGGAGATGCAAGAGAGACACAGAGAGAGAGAGAGAAATATGGAGAGAGAGAGATGGAGAGAGAGTGTGTGTGTTATGTCAAGGAGGATGAGTCCCAGTATTGTCCTGGGCAAATGAAAATGGTGGAGCCAGGAACACTGCACTGGGTTGTGCAGGCTGTGCCACCACTAACCAGGGCCTGCAAGCTGGCTTGGGCCTATGTCAGCTTGCAGGGAGGGCACTTTTTTCTGATTCTCACAAAGCCCAATATAGGCTGGTGAATAGCACTTAGCATGGCAGGTGCTAGAGGACAAGCAGGAGTGTGTGTGTGTGTGGGGGGGGTGACAATGCATTTACAGGCATATGGCATTTAGGTTCCTGTGGGACTTCTGCAGGAGATGGAGGAGGACAATTTGGTGCACAGTTCAGGTCTGAAGCTCAGCTGAGCAGTTATTAACTGGGCACAAGATTTTGCCCTCAAATGGGAGGTTAAGAGGCCAGGTCTGGGTCGGGCAGCCCGGACACAGCACCACTCTGACACTTAGTATCTGTGACCTTGGATAAATCAACTCACTCCCAGAGCACTGGTTTACTCGTCTGCAAGTTGGGGGCAGTAAATGGTGGCTATCTAATAAGAGATGCTGTGACAATTAAAAGAAACAACGCACATAAAATACATAAATAG